TTTAACATGTAATTCAGGTTGTTCTTCCTTACGGCGAGTAATTATTAATCGAGATGAATAACGTAAATTTATTGTGACCAGGTTCAACGCGCTGAAGTGAAGAATTTTATGTACGGACCGGTGGTCGTTTTGCAGAGCGTGGAGCTACTGAAGAAATTATTTGTCATCTGTATTTATTATCTGAAATAGACTCATAGAGACAGTCTTTTTTGTCGACAAAAACTAGTGTTTTGATTGGTTTTAAATTGTTAGTCCAAACTGTTTTATTTTTAACTCTAAATTTATGGAGGGAGGGAGCTGGTCTATTTTTAGATTGACGAAAAGGTTTGTTTCTGAGATGGATGGAATTCAGTGGCATGGAAAATTCAATACAGCAGTAATAACACTATTAACTAGTATTTAATCGCAGACTTCATAATTCCCAATTAGTCAATTCCATGGTGTCATAACAGAGAATACAAAGATGAAACCAAACACCTTCTAAAGTGTTGAGGGAATTGGAATATATTAAGCATGCATAAAGGAAGCTGTAGTGAAACCAACCTTTATAGAATGAGATAAAAATTATAGACAGAGAGCAATATTTTTTTAAATAAGATGCCGTGCTGGGGAAAACGATAAATTACATCCGCGTCCTCGGTAAGACGATAAACTATGTCCAGTAGCAAGGCCTCTGATCAGGAGGTTTTGAGGAGCGTGGAACCACCTCTTAATTGCTTGTGTTCCCAGGTCCACCCTGACCCGGTGTGGTAGTACCTGTTAGGGTCCCTGCTATGGGTAATTAGTTAACCTCCAAACTGGGGCCAAAACACTATGAAAGTGTAAAAATAGGTTTTAATTCAAGAAATACTTTGTAAAAGATTATTGCTAGCAATAAATTTTTGAAGAAAAATTATTACCAGCAATACCTTATTACCGGGAATACATTTTTGAAAAAAAAATTACCAGCTGTACATTTTTAAAAACAAAAAATATTACCAGCACTACATTTAAAAAAAAAAAATATTACTAGCAATAAAAATCTTGTCGGCATTAGATAACCTATTGAGGATGATGTACTATAAAACAAAATAAACCAAACTATACATTTTTGAAAAAAAAAAGTATTACCAGTTATACTTTTGAAAGTATACATAGATTTTATATTCGTTTAATACTAATTTTACTTTTGAAAGGACATATAGATTTTAAATTCGTTTAATATTATTTTTAATTTTACTTTTGAAAGGACATATAAACTTTATATTCGTTTAATATTAATTTTATTTTTGAAAGTACACATAGATTTTATATTCGTTTAATATTAATTTTAATCTTACTTTTGAAAGGACATATAGATTTTATATTCGTTTAATATTAATATTAATTTTACTTTTGAAAGGAAATATAGATTTTATATTCGTTTAATATTAATATTAATTTTACTTTTGAAAGGACATATAGATTTTATATTCGTTTAATATTAATATTAATTTTACTTTTGAAAGGAAATATAGATTTTATATTCGTTTAATATTAATATTAATTTTACTTTTGAAAGGACATATAGATTTTATATTCGTTTAATATTAATATTAATTTTACTTTTGAAAGGAAATATAGATTTTATATTCGTTTAATATTAATATTAATTTTACTTTTGAAAGGAAATATAGATTTTATATTCGTTTAATATTAATATTAATTTTACTTTTGAAAGGACATATAGATTTTATATTCGTTTAATATTAATTTTACTTTTAAAAGGACATATAGATTTTATATTCGTTTAATATTAATTTCAATTTTACTTTTGAAAGGACATAGATTTTAAATTCGTTTAATATTATTATTAATTTTACTTTTGAAAGGATATATAAACTTCATATTCGTTTGATATTAATTTTAATTTTACTTTTGACAGGACATATAGATTTTAATTCGTTTAATATTAATATTAATTTTACTTTTGAAAGGACATATAAACTTTATATTTGTTTAATATTAATTTTACTTTTGAAAGTACACATAGATTTTATGTTCGTTTAATATTAATTTTAATTTTACTTTTGAAAGGACATAGATTTTATATTCGTTTAATATTAATTTTAATTTTACTTTTGAAAGGACATATAGATTTTATATTCGTTTAATTTTACTTTTACTTTTGAAACGACATATAGATTTTATATTCGTTTAATATTAATATTAATTTTACTTTTGAAAGTACACATAGATTTTATATTCGTTTAATATTAATTTTAATTTTACTTTTGAAAGGACAAATAGATTTTATATTCGTTTAATATTAATTTTACTTTTACTTTTGAAAGGACATATAGATTTTATATTCGTTTAATATTGATATTAATTTTACTTTTGAAAGTATATATTGATTTTATATTTGTTTAATATTAACTTTACCTTTAAAAGAACAGATTTTATATTCGTTTAATATTAATTTTAATTTTACTTTTGAAACGGCATATAGATTTATATTCGTTTTATTTTGTTTTTAATTTTGAAAAGACAGATTTTATTTTAGTTTTATATTTTAATTTTGAAAGGACATATAAACTTTATAATCATTTTATATTAAATTTAAATTTGGAAAGGTTACATAAAATTTTATTCATTTTATATTAATTTTAATTTTTAAATGGCACATAAATTTAATATTCATTATTATTCATTTTAGTTTTGAAAGTACATATAGATTTTATGCTCATTTTATATTAATGTTAATTTTGAAGGATATATAGATTTAGGAGAGGCTTGTAGGATGTTTTGTGTATTTACAGAGATCTCTGAAAAAAAATGGCGAGGCTTTGAATAGTTAAACATTCTGCCGTACTTTCACGTCTTGTATATCAATCATAACAGACGTTCAGGCAGGCTGACGGAGAAGAAGGATGTTCGATAGTGTAACGGTCATCGGTGTGGGTGGTGACATCCACAAGTTCAAATTCCCGCATTGCCTGCTGTATTCCCTTTTTTCATATCGCATTGCGAGAGATATGAATACAATTGTTCTTCTTGTCATTTGTAGAATTAAGTAGTATGGTGGACTTGGTTCATGAGAAAGACAAATTTGAATTCTAAACTATTGAGAAGACAAAAAAGAAACCACTCCACTATATTTCCCAAGAAATTAAAGGATTATAATAAAAAAAGAGAAACTGTGGAGAGCCATGATCGTCTACATCCTAAATGGATATGAAATTAAAAAAAATAAATGACAGAAACAAACAAAAACTTAGGAATCAAATTACAATTGCCTTTTCAGTCTTCGTCGTGTGGAAAATTGTGAGTGTCGAATATTCAGTCTTCTTACAATGATGTTCACTCTGTATAAGCCACTTAAAGTAGAGGTTTACAGAGTAAGAGGCGTCACTCCAAGGAAGGTGACAACGCCACCAAGACACAAGGAGCCGCCGGAAGTGAAAGAAAAAAAAAACATTTTAGAAGGAACTGGAAACCCAATCCTAAATAGGAAACAAGGGGTAAATCTCAAATCCTGTTCAAAATTGGCGAGAAGTATGAACAGGATGGTAGGCTAACCTGTCTAGTTCTATTGAGGAAAAAAAGACGTAAATAAATAGTAAATAAAAGTTCTGAGTTAGCATAGCGCGTAAATAATTGGTAGAAACCAATTATTTACGCACTATGCTAACTCTGTGAAAAAAATACATGAAAAAAATACATCGAAACGAAAACAATAAAAAGGATCTGTGACATCGATTCAAGTATGGACATCGTTAACAAAAAAAAGTGGTAAATGAGAAATATTTTTTTTCTAAGGGTAGAAATGTGGTAATGGCAAGACATAACTTTGTCAGAGAATGCCGTAAGAATTTTTATTTCGTATTCAAATGTTTCGAAAAGAACAGTTTGTATAAATATAAGAGAAAAAAACAAAAAACAAAAAACAAAAAAAAAAAGCACAAGGTATGTGCAAGTTTTAAGAAATTCCTTCTTTGGAAAGAAAACCGAATTATGGATTAAAAATGAGAATAATATTAATAAAAAAATGAGGAACAAAACAAGAATCCATTTTTCTTTTTACTCATGAATATTTCTTCCATTTAGAATGATTTTGATATTTTTAAATCGTTTGTTGAAAAATGAAAAATCCGGAGAAAATTGAGTGAACATACCAGTGAAGCCAAAAATGTTTTAATCTCAGACAAAAAAAAATATGGCGCTGTTTCGTTAAAGCGTCTACAAAGATTTATTTTGATTGTAAGCGTTAAAATTTGTAACAATTTCAAAATTATATCTATCTTTTCAGATAACCTCTTCATTTTTTAAATACCATTTTGTTTATACATGATGTTTTTTTATGACACCTATTTCTTCGCCTATCTTTCTGTCTTTCTTTGTATCCATGTTGTTAATTGATATCATACTAGCAATTGTCTTCTCTCAGAAAACGCTCGGATTATTTCTGTCATAATTTTCAAAATCACTGAAGTAGTCGTTGGATATTTTCTAAAGTCATTCAGAATCGAAGAAATCGATGTTCAACAAAACATTTAAAAGATTATTTAGAAAGTTCATTTTATTCAACTTGCTACTACCAACCGGTTATCTCCCCTGAAAACAAATTTCGTACGCCGTCTTTTGTTATCTTTGGAGCATGGTCGTTGAATTGCTTAATGATTAAAAACCAATTTAGAACATCTTCAGAATTAGCAGTTCTCATTGATATTAAATATTAGAGGTGCTTATTTTTTATATTTTTCGTTTTTTATATTCTGTTATCAAGCTAAAAAATGATTCTTTTATTGCCAGAAATAAAGTAGAGTTCTTTATAGTTGAAAACAGTAAAAATGTTCTCGGGATTTTGACGGAAATACCCGAAGTGACTGTTTCCAATTTATCATTTTATTGATTTAATTTGGTTTGTAAGAAAGCGAAAAGCAATGTAAAAGCCATTCTCTCTTTCGTTTTCTCCTATTTTCTTTGTTTTGTTTTATTTTTTTAAAAATCTTTTTATATATCACTAAGCATAGTCGGTCTCAAACCGGACTTTCGCGATTGTGTTTTTTCCCAGCAGTCTTTGCATGGACAGTTGTTGTTGTAACGATGGGAAACGTTGTTAATTTCGACACTGATGCAGTCGGAGTTAGTTTCGTGACGGTCACTTTACCATTTGTGTTGAGCAGATTGTTGGGTATGGAAGGAGTTTGTTTGGGGTCTCTGTTGGTCGAAGACAGCGACTGTGGTTTGTTCTGTAAGCAGAATGCCTGCTGTGCGCGTTTCTCGTTTATCGACGTTGAATTCATCAATCGAAGGGAACTGCAGTGACGCATAATCGATGACGTCATCACCGTCTGCCAATGCGTTCGGGGTAGAGTAGCTGAATCCATCCGACCTCGTTTTCTGCGCAACCATACTTTTTGCAATTCCGATTGGACCTGGTCCAAAGTCGAAAAGAAAAGTGGTTTCATATTAATAGCAATAAATATTCAATAAAAACAAAGGAAGAGCAAAATAAAGAGAAAATTTGTTTTTATTAAATTGGCCAGTTTGAGTGTTCGGAAATTAATATCGCATTTTAAATAATTCAGATTTGAAAATTTATTTATTATTGCAAATCAATGTTTAAATAGCAAACAAAGAAACTTAGATTTACTTTTTTTCCGTTTCATTTCGACCTTTTGGTGCTGTGGTTAGCTTTATTCTTGTCTTGTGACACAATGGACAATGATCATCTTGTGAATTAGGATAGTCAGCTCATTTTTATCTGGGCTTGAAACACCGGTAGTTTTATGACAGCCAACAGAAAATGGAGATGTGAGAGCTTTAAAGCAGCCACTCGCTGCTCAAGAGAATGAATTATATAAATAAATAAATAAATCAATAAACAAATGAAAACTTTCTGGGCCATGTGCCACTCAGCCGGAAGGAATGGAGTTCCGGGGTTGGGCTTATATAGTCGGGCTGTATTCTGGAATGTTCAGTTGCAATCCGTCCGACGATATGTAGAGGCAGTCAGAATGAGAGTCAGTCACGAAGCGGCCATCAATACATAAAGACAGTCACTCATAGAGTGGGTCAGAGGGGCCAGTCACAAGCTTTCGTTAGTTGATATGGATACGGACAGTTAAATTTCTTACTGACGAGAGGAGACAGAAGTCGCAAGGAAGATGATGATGTACTCCTACACAGTGTTAGGTGAATCTATGAATAAAGAAAGCAGTACATTGAAAACAGGATTCGTGTTTCTTTTTTTTTTCTCGCCGTGGTGATATTCCACCTTTCGTTCCCCTGTAGAACATATACCGGTATTTTCACAGTTTTTGTTCATACCAACGCAAACGAGAAAGAAAAATCAAGCTGACCTGTTGGTGAAATATTGGCCGAGGACCACGACTGCATAGTCATAGACTTCAAACAAAACAAGGCATAAAATATGAAACTTGTGTCTGCTTTCTGGTGTACAACACAGTAGCAGCGTGAAGTAGAAAAGTTTCCCTTGATGTCTTTTCTGCACAGGGCGTGTACTTTGGATCATTTTTACATGACCAACACGTCTGGATATGTGGGTAACGTAATGCTTATTGGTTTAGAAAGTGCAATCGGCATGCCCGAAATTCTGACCAAAATCTATTTTGTTCACTTACCACTTGGAAAAGATATGCATAAATCTCTCTCCATAAAATAACAAAGCAGACTGGTAGAAAGATAACGTTGAATTCAAAAACTAGTTTGAAGAGGGTCAGGGTTAGGCTATCTTGCCCTAGATATGCTGCTACGGTTGCAGTAGACATTGTAACCCAACGACTCTAATGAGTTACCGGACTTGTTTACCATTTTACGTATACGGGATGTAGGACATCATACGAAATCTGAACTTATGTTATATTTGCCGTCGTGAGGAAGATGCTTAGAAAAAATCTGTTCTCTCAAGCTGTCTACTGTTTATTGTTATGGCAACGCTTAACCCAAATGTTTGTCATTGTAAACTCTTGGTCCTTCATAAAGTAAGTAATATAAGGACATTTGTGCTGTTTTTTCTACGTATTGAGGACGTCGAATCAAGCAGGTAGAAAAATTTAACGATCTGGGTAGTGCTGTAACATGTGATAGAAATCTGAAAGAACACAGGAATAGACAAAGTTGTCCTCTAGAATCTAAACAATTATTAAAAGACAGGAAATTTCGCCAGAAGAAAGAGCACCGAACTGCTATGTAATATCTAATCTCCTATATGACAGTGAATGATGGACAATGTCATCACAGATGAAAAAAAGACTTAACGTGACCTGCGATGTAATGCTAGTGATGAATACTAAGAACACTACGGACGGAACATTTGAGCAATATAGAAACCTTAAAGGAAATAGAAAGCAAAAGGTAAGTTTTAATTAGAAACAAAGAGGAATAAGGAGAGAATATCTGGCCAATATAGCACTCACAGGAAATTTTTATACTCAAATCCTCCCAGAACTTGAGTACCACTCAAGGTAGAAGGTTACTGTTAAAATGGTTATGATGAATGAAAAGTGTGATATTTTACAATGATGTTCACCTTGTACCGGGCCGAAGAGACACTCGAGGTAGAGGGTTACTGAGTAAGAGGCACAGTTTATGGGAATATTTGGGAAAAATAACGGTTAACTCTCGACTTGAATTGGTTAAGATTGTAATGACCAGGGAAGCATTCTTCTGGAAGTCGGTTCCACAAAGTAGTGGTTCGTGGGAAGAAGCTGTTCGAGTGGAACTTGCATCTCATTAATGGAATACGAAGGGAATGAAGGTGGATCGCTAAAAGCTTCATGGCATGCCGGGTCTTTGTTGTAAAGGTCTGAACTGGTGGGACTAAAGAATGTAGTTCGTATGAAGATTTTCTATGAAGAAGTCAGAGGATTTGCGACGTTTCGTCTGTGGGAAGGGGATTGCAGGGGGGAAAGTAATTCATCAAATTCGTTTGCCACATTTGCTATAAACTTTGCAAGTTACTTGCTCGTTTCAAGAGCAATTCTCGTTCTTACGAGAACTAAAAACATAGATCAAACTTCTCAGTTATGGTCATACTCGTTCAACGAGTCAACAACCATCATATATATATTCTTGAGGCCATCTATATAAGAATTCTTGAAGCCCTCTATTTAAGAATTCTTGAAAACCGATATTTAAGAATTTTTTAAAGCCATCTACATAAGAATACTTGCAGCTCTCTATATAAGTAATCTTGAAGCCCTCTACATAAAAATTCTTGAAGCCATCCATTTATGAATTTTTGAAGCCCTCTATTTAAGATATTCTTGAAACCATCTATATAAGAATTCTTGCAGCTCTCTGTATAAGTATTCTTAAAACCCGCTACATAAAATTCTTGAAGCCATCTATTTAAGAATTCTTGAAGCACTCTATTTAAGAATTCTTCAAGACCTCTATTTAAGAATTCTTCAAGACCACTATTTATGAATTATTGAAACCCTCTATCTAGTATTTTTTGAAGCCATCTATATAAGAATTCTTGCAGCTTTCTATATGAGTATTTTTGAAGCCCTCTACATAGAAATTCTTGAAGCCCGCTATTTAAGTATTCTTGAAGCCATCTATATAAGAAAATTACAACCAATACTAAAAAAAATTAATTATGAGTATAGCAAAATGCTTTAAATGTCTATAACAGCAAAGTTTTAAAATACCTAAATTGTAATTTTTGAAAAAAATTATAAATACAAATTAAGTTACCGCCTTTGATAACGTGAATTTTTTCAATCAACAGAGTGCGTTTCATGCGCATTTACAAAATAATTCACAACTATCAATTACATTAGTTTTTATCTTAGCAATTCACCCTTGAAGATGATCTTGGATCAGGTTGAAAGTACTTGGGAAAAATAAAAGGAATGAGAAAAACTACGGCACCTTCCTTAACGAGTTTAATGACAACATTAAGAAATTGGTCCGTGAATTTGAAAGGATTAAAATAAAAATAGACAGACATAATATGTCTAGATTATCTAACCGCCTCTCTGTCTCTGTCTCTCTGTCTCTGTCTCTGTCTCTCTCTCTCTCTCTCTCTCTATATATATATATATATATATAATAAAAAGGCTTAAACACTAATATTCCATGGTCATAATTTATTCCATTGGAATCGTAAATACGATCCAATTCATCAGACCTACAAATATTTGTGTTTAAGCCTTTTTATTATATCCTTACTCTGTCCTGGACATTGAGTTCTACCTGGAATTTTTTATTAAAAAAATATACATGTATGTGTATGCACCTATGTATATATATTTATATATTTTGCATATGTATGTGTATATTTACCACTAATATTATCAATCTATCTCTCTCTCTCTCTATATATATTTATATATATATACATATATATATATATGATAGATGCTTTCTCGTTTCTGAGTATAGCCACTGCTTGATAAGGTTTCATTCCCTAGTTTCACCAGTGCAACAACCCGAATGTTAATTTTGATCTCTGTGTTCTTGCAGTTTATGCTTAGTCCTTCTCGCTTTCCTTCGCTACCTACTATGGCATCTTCTATAGTTTCCTTCCCGTGTCTGCTATCAGCATTGCGTCATCTTCGTGCGAATTCCACTCTGTTCATCGCATGTTAGATCTTGATGATTACCTATAGTTTTAGGCAAACCCCTCTTCATATGTTCATGCTTTCTTCGCAGAAATTCGAATTCATCCCTGTCATCATAAAACTGCATTCCTCCACGAACAAAGATCCAGTGCTAAATCCTCCCACCGGTCAGTTAAAAAAAAGCTAAACTTTATCTAAGAGCAGTAAAACATTGTCCTTTAACGTCATTTTTAGTTTATGTGCAAGTCTCTTTTGTTTGGTTTGCTTACCATACAGGATCCGCTTAAGGATTCTAGTATCTTCCATCCTCACTGAATGACAAGGTCAACCCAGACAATGAATGATCAGGGCTTCACTCCTCTGACAGCCGGTTCTTTATACATTACTAATATTCATCTTCCAATATAGAAGAATAATTCGTCAATGTCATTGTAGTTTTCACCAATTGGTTTACGTGCAATAATTGAAAGTAAAATATTGCGATAAGAAGACTTACCTCTGCGTTCATGTAACAAAATAGAATTGCAACAAAAAATCCCTGAAACGATAAAAAATAATGAACAGAAAGAAATATACATTGATATAAAACGCTGTAACATTTTAACGTAATTTCGAATATTATACATTAGGTTGTCACACATGACGCACTTTATAGGAAATCAGTTGGAAACTACTTTACAAGATCTTTTGAAGAGATTCAAGCATTTGTCAATAGGTAGATTAGTATGTAGGGATTTGACATCTAAATGTCAAAATTAGATGTCAAATTGTGGTACGAAACGAAACTTAAGATTGATAACTATTATTATAATTATTATATCTTAGGTTGTCACACATGAAATAACGCACTTTATAAGAAATGAATAAAACGCTTCTGAAATGTTTTAATAACTAACATATTTAGTTGAAATAGGCACCATTTTGATGAATGACTGTTCTCCAACGTACCTCTGAATTCTTGATCCCATCTTTAAAAAAATGCTTACCTTTTGATGTGATAATCAGTTCGAATGCTTCGATTTTCTCTATATTAAAGACTATTTGATTGCGTGTGAATGCTTAAATAAGTTATAACCAGTAGCAGAGATATCAGCTGAATATAGAGGATGAGGCAAAATTTTATAATTCAGTCTATGCAGCTTTTGAACTGTTGATTGAAAACCGTGCATTGTCGTGCAGCAAAATTGGGCCATCCCTGTTCACAAGTCGACGATGTTTCTTTCTCAATTTTTTATACATACACTCAATTTCTCGACAGTATGAGTTTGCTGTTATTGTTTTCCGAACGGTGTAAATAGTATAAAATAGTTACAATACCTCATCTCAGAAATATCGACAGCTCCCGAAGAAGGCCGGAGCTTACAACGGCCGAAACGCCGTGACTATGGCAATAAAGATAAGCAAAATAATCCGAACGATGTAAATAGTGTAAAGTAGTTACAATACCTCATCTCGGAAATATCGACAGCTCCCGAAGAAGGCCGGAGCTTACAACGGCCGAAACGCCGTAACTATGGCAATAAAGATAAGCAAAACAATCCGAACGATGTAAATAGTGTAAAATAGTTACAATACCTCATCTCAGAAATATCGACAGATCTCGAAGAAGGCCGGAGCTTACAACGGCCGAAACGCCGTGACTATGGCAATGAAGATGAGGAAAACAGTCCGAACGATGTAAGTAGTTATAATATCTCATCTCAGAAATATAGACAGCGAAACGAAAAATTTGTTGCACATATTTGTTTGCGCCTTTTGGTATCAGTCTCAAAGCCTCAGTAACAACACTTTTAATGTTGTTATCTTGAGATGCCACATTTTATTGATTTCTATCTTGAGTTCCTTGCATTCACTTTAGTGTAGCTTCTTAAACGTTTTCAAAGATGTATTTTTTTTTGTCGGCTGGATCTGCAACATTTATCAGAAGACAGGTGTTTTCAATATGATTTTTCATAATTATGTCTGGTCTATTTGAATATAAATATTATTAATTTATACACTGGGCAAAAAAACAAAAAACAAACAAAAAACAAAAAAACTAACTTGTTAATCAATGCCATACGGCTAGTGCCTATTTCTCTTTGTAATGTAAGTCTGATAAAAAGACCTATAGCGTTGGACATCTCCGTGATGTTCAAACTTGTAAGCATGATTCGACGGCAGCTGCCGATTCACATCGTAAATCTTCACTAATCTTTGTTTAGTGTGGTACAAAACACTGTGGGACATGGAATAAAGACGCGATTGTAAACGAAATATCTTGCATAAGGTGGGGTGGGGTAATTTGGGTCAGTGGGATAATTAGAGTCACTTTTGATTCTCGTTAATTTTATGTTAACTCACTTGGTCTCACAGCAAGCTGCTAATAATATAGATTGCATCAGTTTCTAACCTTGTGATACAACTGCAACAATTGCATCGTCCTTTTTATTCTTGGATGTCAGAGAGGAAGGACCTATTTTGACTCAGGTGAGTTTATTTTTACTTGGAAATCAAACTTTCTTTTGAAAATTCTAAAATGTCAGAAATCAAGTTCAGATACCAATTTTGCATGGGGAAATTATCAAAGTATCCAAAAGTATACCAAGCAGTTGATTGGTATTGGATGAAATAGAAAAACTGTAAGCTTGGTCTGGTGGGGTAATTTGGGTCACATTGCTATCTAAGGAAATGCATGTTTAGCCTCAGATGTATCTATAAATCATATCAGTTGGAAGAAATTTAGTGATCTGAGATTAATTTTGGATTGTTAAACCAGAAAATGTTGCCCAGTTGAAGATAAAGGTCCCTTTTTTTCTATTTTCGAATGCCTCGGACATACAAACGCTTAACTGAATCGTATAGCCCAGATGTGCTGCAAGTCGCAATTAGCAAGGTCCAGAATGATGGTGTTAGTATACGCAGTGATGCAAAGAGTTTTGGTATTAGCAGGGAAACACAGAGACGTTGGGTCACCAAGTAACCAATTAAAGCTGCAGTTGAAAGAGTGCGGGTGTTGACGGACCAAAAGGAGAACATAAAAGTAAATATAAAAAAGAATTCCTGTCTACTTACCTGGAAAGAATTAAGCAGCATTTCAAAATATAGTTTGACCAACTCTGCTACTTCTCCAATGTCATCTGGAAGGCCGAGGAAGACCATATAGTGAACACCAAACAGAGGAATGAGGACAAGTGTTGACTTGGCTAAACGCCTGGAAAGACAGCCATTCATTTAAAAAATATTTTTAATCATTTCACCATAAGCAAGGTGATAATTCCACTAATAAGCAAGGGGTTACTGGGAGTAGAAGAGAATCAGAAAACTTTAGTGAGGAGAAAGGACAAAAACAGGTTTGAAGAAGACAGAAGATAGCGGTTGGCGTTGCATTGAAATTTTTGTAGTTGGCAGGGAAGCAAGAAATACGAAGGGACCTCCACAGGTTAGAAATGCAAGAAAAGAAACTGTTAGAACAGACGGTTGCATCGAAGGTAGTTCAGTAGTAAAACGGTGAAACCTAGTTGCTAATCTAGTAGCGTGCTTAAATTAATATTCAAGGCACCAAGGAGGAAATCTCATCAGAACAATTGCCATGAATATATTTGTAGAAAAGGGAAGCTACACACTTGTGCAAATTAAATGAAACAACCGCTTTAATTTCTTTTCTTTCAACATACGGGCTAAACCCCCTGGAGTGACAGGGTGTAATTGATTTCTATTTTTTCTTCAGATTAGGTCATTTGCAGTGGTGTACAGTAACATGAATCTATTTTTGGGGTGTATGATGAAGTTTATTTAGCCTTGAAAAATATTGCGTCATCGGGATTTTTATCACGCCCAGACATTATTGTCTCGACTGTTGATTAGTTGTCCTTAGGCCATTGTTTGCGATGGACGTTACTTCAAGAAAACATACAAAAATTGTAACGCTACACGAACACACTTCAAATATACTGTTCTGGAAACTCTCCTGATTTAAATTTCTTCTTCTTCTTCTTCTTCTTCTTCTTCTTCTTCTTCTTCTTCTTCTTCTTCTTCTTCTTCTATCCAATCGAGAATCTGTGGTCAGGAACGACTTCGTGGAATGGACATATGAAGTGCTCACATGTACCCTGGGTCATGTTTCATTGGAAAAATACGTAAAAAAAGTAAATAATAACGAAATTATTCGTTTTGTTTCAATTAATTTGCACAAGGGTGTATGTCACGTTGAGAAAGTGAGTGAAGTCGAGATACCAGGTCAGGATCGATTACATTACAGTCTCAAGAATTTCGAGATATCTAATAGGAACACTAGGCCAGATATGACAGCAATGTTCAATGCACGGACAATTGGTAGATTTATAATTGTGCAAGAGGGATTCTGACCAGAAAAATTAAAATGACTATTTAATGTGAGACAGAAAATGCAACTGAACATGTTAATTCTTCTTACAAATTACTGGACACATGATTCTTCTTCTATGTGCCGTGTCATTTCAGGGCGTTCGTGATAATGGTTCTATAATTTTCAGTCCTTCGCTGCTGTTAATAAATTTCCTCTTGTTGTTATCTCTTCTAAACCTTGTTCAGCCATCCATTTACTCGCTAGGTGGGTAATGCGTTGTTTTTCTCTGTCCCTCTTGCCTTCAACGTCCTGTGAGTATCAAATTTTCTAAACCCTTTTTCCTCATTATGTGCTCTAAAAATTTAAACTGTCTCTTCCTGATGCTAAGTACAAATGTACATTTTGTTTCCATTTTCTCTATAGAAATTATCAGCTCGGAACCCAAACTTATACCTAGCTTATGGAAGTTACTAAAACTACTAATATGATTCAAATGTACATTTATTCTAGAGTGCTGGGAAAGTCTTCTTTTATGTACCCTGTCTCTGGGCGATTATGGATCTCCACGACTTCCTGTCCTTTGAAGCTCTAAGCTGCTTTTGACCCTACACTCTGCCTTCAATGTATCCTGCGGGCGTACGGGCATATTACGCTGAAACACCGATTTCGTATGATCACCAAAGTTAAGCAACATTGAACTTGATCAGTACCTAGGTGGGTGACCGCTTGGGAATAACAAATACTGTAAATTTGGATGTGCGGGTGGTGCAATGGATAAAGGCTAGGAATTGGAAATCAGAGAGCCGAGTTCCAATTCCAGTTGGTTTTCATTATATCCTCTATGCGCAAATACCCCTGGGAAAGGTATGACCCCCTCTCCCCCCAGCTATGGGTTAATTAGTAGGACTTGTCTCAGTAAATCATTATTATCTCAAAAAATTCTTCTGTCGATATTTCTGAGATGATGTATTGAAACGATTTGCATTTTTTTGGACAGTTGTACTCATCTTTCACGGCGTTTCGGCCGTTGTACGCTCCGGTCGTCTTCAGGTATCTCCAAGGACACATGACCTAGACGGTAAAAGCGTTGGTTGAAGTAATTCAGTGACTTGGCCCAAAAGAGTTGTGAGTTCAATACCTGGCCACAGCAGAGGTGAACAAAAACTTGAAGAGTTGAGTTACGAAAGGGAAATTACTGAAACTGAGATATCCAGAAACGGTATGGCACGTGGAACTAGAACAATATACTCCGGTGGACGAAATAAAGTGTTCGGTTCGAAATTCCAACGCATATCACCTGAAGAAGGTCGGGGCGTACAACAGCCGAAACGTCGTGAATATGATAATAAAAACGAGGACGACAGTTCAATCACTGTAAGTAGTGTAAATAAAAAATTCTTACACTCTGAAAATATTTTCTGGCTTTAAATAAACTGCAATGGGTTGATAAGCCGTAAAAAATCGAATCAAATCAAATTCTAAACCGCTTGTTATTGTTTTTCTTGAATTTACATTTACTCTTTATGATTTCACTTGCTCACTTTTGAATATGATACCATGTTAATATTTCAATCGAAACTCACTATTTGCGTTCAGACTAATATCCTCATCTTTGTTGTTATTATCAATCAACTAATCTACCCTCAGTTTCCTCATTATTTCTAGAAATGTCAAATGTTTCTTTCTGATTGTAACTAGGTGTTCTTTTTGCTCCCATTTTCCTTAAAACTTCCTCATTGTTCACCTGTTCTGTCTATGGTATTCTCAATATCACTAAAATCAGCCATATCACTGTTGCCTAAACTCTTCGCTTCAGCTGTAAGAAAACTGTCTAGCATTCACCGCTAGATAGGAGGATTGACATTACATATCAGTTCAACACTTTTTGCTTCTATTATCTTGTCACTTACTTTGCTTAGTTTCTAGAAAGCATCTTTCAGATATGCTTTCATCACATTTTCGTCGTTGGTTTTGAATTCAAAATTGTCCTTCAAGATTGGTTACAACGCAACGTTAGAGATCATAGTGCACCCTGCTATTTAGCCGATAGACGAGGAAGAAAAAAGCGGAGTTATGCTTCTCCTGAGGGATTTGCGTGAAATGACCGTAACAGACTCAACCGGAATTTGAACTCGGGTCACCAGATCCACATAACGCATCGATAACCATTTCCATTAACCACACGTTACATTAATCTTCGTTCCAATTTGTGACAATCATCTTTGCATCACGAAGATCGAAAGTGGAATGACGAAAATAGTCATTCGTATTGGATGCAAATGGCATCTCTCGACAGTATTCGAAAACTGGCGCGAAAATGCGCCTCTTCATTTTTGAACCAATTAGAATGATCACTTTTAGAGAACTTTTTTTTATCGCTTCTGTTCACTCATAGAATATGAAGAATTCCAGTTTACGTCACTCGATTTTCAGTTAGATTGATCACATGTCATTCTGCCACCCACAAATAAATTTTCCCGTTTCAATTTCATGTTTATAAAAACAGATTTTAAAACCTTTTTATAAACATTCACAATTCAATTCAATACTTAACTGAATTTAAACAAAAATATTTTATATTTTTCTTGTAGTTTGGTGAGATAATTTAATAAATTCTTCAATTTGTCAAAATTATATTTGAAAAAAAATATAGAAAATAATCTTACTGCCGCGTCCCTTAAAACTTTTTTAAATATAAAAAATAACATTTTATTTTCATGTCTGTTAGGATGGAGGAAATCACAGTTGTTCGCACATTCCTGTTTTATTACCTGAGAATTGACATGGGATCTTGGGAAAGAAAGGGGAATGTTATCACGTTGCCTTCAAAATGGTTTTGAATTCCTTCTTACTACCCAATTTTGGAGAGTCCAGTTTAATTTAAATTACTATTACCCAACGTAGATAGGTAAAAAAAAGACATGGATCCATGCCTTCCACAGGCATTTGAAAGTGAAAGACCTGGATCCATGCCTTCCATAGGCATTTGACAGAGAAAGATCTGGATCCATGCTTTCCATCGCATTTGAAAGAGAAAGACCTGGATTCATGCCTTCCATGCTCATTTGATGGAGAACGACTTTGATTCATGCATCCCATGGGCATTTGAAAGAGAAAAACCTGGATCCATGACTTCCATCGGCATCTGAAAGAGAAAAACCTGGATCCGTAACTTCATGCCTTCCATGGCATTTGAAACAGAAAAATCTGGATCCATGCCTTCTATGGGCATTTGAAATAGTAAGACATGGATCCATGGCTTCCATGTGCATCTGAAACAGAAAGACCTGAATCCACCCTTCCATGTGCATTTGAAAAAGAAAGACCTGGATCCATGTCATCCATGGGCATTTGAAATAGAAATACCTGGATTATGCCTTTCCATGGGCATTTGAAAAAAAAGACCTATGCCTTCTATGGGCATATGAAAGAAAGACCTGAATCCATGCCCTCCATGTGCATTTGGAAAAGAAAGACCTGGATCCATGCCTTCCATGGGCATTTGAAAAAGAAAGACCTAAATCCATGCCTTTTATGGGCATTTGAAAGAGAAAGACCTGGATCCATGCCGTCCATGGGCCTATGAAGGGAAGACCTAGATCCATGCCTTCCATGGGCATTTGAAAGAGAAACACATGGATCCATGCCTTTCCATGGGCAGTTGAAAGAGAAAGACCTGGATCCATGCCTTTCCATGGGCAGTTGAAAGAGAAAGACCTGGATGCATGCCTTTCCATGGGCAGTTGAAAGAGAAAGACCTGGATCCATGCCTTTCCATGGGCAGTTGAAAGAGAAAGACCTGGATGCATGCCTTCTATGGACATTTGAAAGAGAAAGACCTGAATCTACGTCTTCTATAGGAATTTTTGCGAGAACGAATTTAACAGACTAGGCTGGAATTCGAACTCTGTTCGCCGATTTCATTTCGCGCGACGCTAACTCTTCCGCCAGCCACTGTTAAAGTAAGCAGCCGCGAAGAATAAATCTGTATTTTTCACAAAAACTCTCTTTTAGCAACAACGGATCCGATTCAACCACTTACCCACAAGCTAAGTACTTGACTTCATGCCAAAGTGTAGGACAGTTCGAGCTGAAACTCTAAGGAGTTTGCCTTCGCCGACGTGAAATACAAAATGTCTTCAATGACATTTTGTCTGCATACTTGTATAATGAACCTCTTAGCTTACGGCCACATTACGTTGAGGCACCGGTTCTCGTACGATCATCAAAGTTAAGCAACGTCGAAACTGGGCAGTTCCTAGATGGGTAAAGGCTTGGAAATACTGGGTACTGAAATCTTAGATGTACATGTGGTGCAATGGATAATGGCTCGGTGTTATTAATCGTAGAGTTCCAATTCCAATTGAGTTCGTTATATTCTATTACGCCACATACTTTTTGAAAGGTATGAATCCACCTTTTCTCCCCCCGCTATGGGTTAATTAGCAAGATTTGTACCACTAAAACCATTATTATCTCACAAACAATTCTTAAAATCTAAAAATATTTTCTAGCTTTGAATAACTTGCAAAGGGTTGATAAAACGTAAAAAACCGAATCAGTCAAATCATAACCAATCGTTATTTTCTTTTTAAAATTAAATTTACTCTTTATAATTTCGCTTGTTCATTTTCGAATATGATGCCATGTTAATATTTCAACTACAATTCATCCTTTGCGTTCAGATTAATGTCCTTTTAATATTAAAACGTTTCGACTGCTGTTTACTCACACCTTCTTCAGGTTTCTGTCGTTCCGAGTAAACTTCAGAGAATTTTGAACGTAACCCTTTATTTAATCTGCGGGAGTAGATTGTACTTTTCCCACTGACCATGTCTAGCAATAACGACAATCTTCCTCCATAGTTTAAATAAAGGGTTTAGTTCGAAATTCCCTGAAGGTTATCCGGAACAAAAAAAAAAAAAAAACCTGAAGAAGAACGGACTGTACAATAACCGAAAAATGATGACAGTAAAAACAAAGATAAGGGCGTTTGTTCGAATGCAAATAATGTACATAATCAATTTAGCAAAGTTATAATTTTTACCATCATGTCACGAGAAAATTACATCCAAATATATATAGCAACAAGTGACTATAAATTACTAACCTGTAGCGGAAGTTTCTGGCTCTCTGAGGCCGGTTCATACTCAATTTGGTGAACAAAATCCGAATGATGTTGACGAAGAAAATAAAATTAACCTGAAATAAAGAAAAATAAAAGAATCTAATTGAATCTGTTTTCAACCAGAGTCCATTTTCAATTTTTGTGTAAGTACTTCAGAAATGTCATCATTTGCCATAGTCCTCTTCAAAATTATCTCAAATTGTTTCACGGCTTGGTAGAGGGTCTGGATACGATACTGGGTTCTTTTGTCAATAAAGATACTTGGTCATTTCCATTTCCTCTGTAAATAAAAATGACTAGTTTACATGGTAACAGCAGCAGGGTGTAATGCCTGACTTGATATGAGTTGATTGGATATATTGGGAGATTGGATTCTAGCCTTTCTCAATTTCCTATTGAAAAGTGAATACGAACGACCTCGGTTGGAATTTGAATTCTAATCGCCGATTCTATTTTCCCAGCTGTTAACGTCTGTAATCAACTTTGTTCAACAAAAATCTAAAATAAGATCTATTTAAACAGTAGAATTATGTGTGAAAATCTATAGAAACAGAAATATGTGTGAAATCCCCAATTGGGAAAAGGCACCCTACATGCTTATAGTAGTTCCATAATGATAATAGGCAGCAAGCACGCTTATCGTGGATCTATTAAGCGACCTTGCAGGCTTATAGTGATGCCACAATGCTAAAAGGCACAGTTCACCCTTGTAGTGGTTCCATAATATTAATAGGCACCGTGCAGGCTAATAGTGGTTCCATAATGTGAATATGACAGCAAATGCTGACAGGTGTTCCTTAGTGCTAATAGACACCGTGCAGGTTAATAGCGGCTCCATAATCTTAATATGCACTGCGAGGGCTAATAGGTGTTCCATAGTGTGTGTGTGTGTGTGTGTGTGCGTGTGTGTGTGTGTGTGAATATATAGTATGATATACACAGACATATAGAAAGAGGTTTATCGATACATAAAAGAAATAATGTCCAAGAGGATACCAAAGAATTACTTACAATAACCGTCGCCATTATTGGTCCTCTCATGATCCAGAAATAAGCTTTATTGGAATGTGTGTTCCAGCATCTGAAATGGAATATGATCTATAAATATATATTATATGAATTGAATATGATATATGAAAACGTTCTTAAACATGAGAGTGAAAATAAATTTTAAAAAGAAAGAAAATCTTTGCCATGATCTGTTGTATTTTGGTCAAAACAAATTGAATTAACCTTTGTTTGCAAGTTCAAACGAACTGTATATTCCAACTATCAATCAGGAATGCCTAAGTGATTTTAGCCTATATCGACTGCCCGCAGGACTTCCTCAGGTGTTTAAAGATTTGTATAACCTACAAAGAGTTCTGAACTGAACTCTTTATTTAATATCAGGAGGTAGACTGTTCACGTTCCACTGCTCATGTCTCGGGATTTCTCGTCTAGTTCTTATTTTTATTTAGTACTGTACAGTTAATTGCTCGCTCGATATCGAGTCTAGTCAGTTTCTTCTTCGTCACCGAGACCCGTTGGTCGAATAATATGACACTTGCGTTGTAGCTACAGAGGAAGCGTCCGATTAACAAAGTGAAATTATTGTTTTTAAAGAAACAAAAAGACCATTTATTTAAATAATTATATCTATAAAAATAACGTATAAATAGGAGACATATTAAAATAATTGTCGGACTGAGTCCATTTCATAATAATACATGTTGTCATTTGTTTACGTTAAGATACACTTCGAGCAGATATGATCGTTCGAGAATGATCGTGGGAAATTTGTTTGTTTAAAATCAGTAATTTGACTTTATTAACGAGATGATCCCTCTGTAGTTAATTCGTAGAGCACTTCAGGCCAAATGACAGTTCCGTGTACGATACAGGTTCGATTCCTGTCAGAGTACTTATATTTTCTACAAATTTTTCCGGACATTAAGGCCGGTAAATGTAATTAATACCGTTTATTATAAACATATCATTTACTTAAATAATTGTATCTATAAGAATAACGTTTAAACAGAATATATATATATATATATGAAGAAATATAGTCTTAAGGTGTGCTATATCTATGGGATAAAGTGCTCAATATCGGAGATAGAGCGTGTGTAAATATAAAAGTGAACATTGAAGTCAACTCTTAGAGGCGACAGTCTGTTTCATGCTAGACGCAATCGTGGCCTGACGATCGCGTCTAGCATGAAACGGACTGTCGCCTCTAAGTGTTGACTTCAATGTTCACTTATATATATATATATATATATATATATATATATGATATGATAGAAATTAGGAGGATTTGAGATAATTATAATTAAGTAATTCATCGAGTCTAGTCCAGTTCTTTTTGCATTCTGTTGAGGTTTCTTCTAGACTTAAAAGAATTACTTAATTATAATTATCTCAAATCCTCCTAATTTCTATCATTTGTATATCCGTGCTTGAACCGACTTCTATTGCTCCAGTTGGAGCGGCTTGGGGATAGTAGCCGTGGCTCGTGGGGGCACAGTCCTATGGGTAAAAGAGAAACTCGGATGAGTTCCACCACGGAATATGTGATCGAGCGGCGCTATATCGAGTCTAATTCGCTACCTCTTCGTCACCGGGTTGGAACGACGTTTGCCTGATAACGTAACTGTCCGGGTTTCAATTCTCGGTAGTGGATGCGCACTGCTGATGAGTTCCAAGGACTAAAATGTGCGTTCTGTTGAGGTTTCTTTTTAGGCTCGATGAATTACTATATATATATATATATATATATATATATATATGTGTGTGTGTGTGTGTGTGTGTGTGTGTGTGTGTGTGTGTGTGTGTGTGTATATAAATATAAATAAATATATATCATAATTTTAAACAAACCCAAACACACGTATATACATACATGCGAGGAAATATTATTCAGTGGAAAATAGAAAACTGACATGTATACATTCACGAGAAATTTTCGCTACACTTCCAATCTTTGAATTTCAACATACAAATGCGTATGTATAGACACAACACCACCCGTATACATACATATGTCAAATCCGAAACTGTCCACATATGCTTATAGATGTATGAGTGCCGACGGACGACCAAGTGTGTATGTGTGTCTGCGTACTTCATTGGACGTATGAACATGCATCGATGTTTGCGTTAGCACGATGACATCACGACGACGTTTCCCCCCTCTACTTCCATAATAACACCACTACACGCAATCTACATAAACCTAAAATTAAAAAAAATAATAAGTTTGTCTGACGATCGCAAGAGCGTGAAACCCAGGGTCACAAACTCACATCAATCCAACCAAATATATATATATATATATATATATATATATATATATATATATATATATATATATAGAGAGAGAGAGAGAGAGAGATCCAAACACTCTGAAATGTTCGTATTGGAGCTCCTGACGTGAATGCTATGCAGTACAGAATGACGTTTCCTAATTTCTGGCGGAATGAATTGCCAACTGGACCTGTGCATACGACAAAATAAAAACAAACAACCTGCATTCACGAAATTAAAAATATAAAATATCAAAAATTGACCCATCGTACCCTGTATATGTGTCTATATATATATATATATATATATATATATATGTGTGTGTGTGTCTAAGATCCAAGTATACACATATATATGTATGTGTGTGTTTATAGAAACCTTTCTTTTGCCAGTGAAAATTAATGTATAACATTTCTACGTTTGCAAAAACGGAAATTTCTGTTGATGTGTAAGTGCCAGAACGGAAACAATAAAATTGGCTTTAGAAGTAGGTATGTAAATCGATCTTCACATCCCCGAATAGATGGTAAGTGTTTGTTGATTAATTTGTAAGCACCGGCTGCTATCATCACATGCCCACCCTTAAGACGGAGGCAGTAATAGTCACAGCCGACAACTTCAAAATTGAAAATATACCTACATTTTTTTTCCTTTTCAGCCGGGAGATAATCGGCTCAACAAGTAGTTATTCTCGTGCCAACACCTGCTAATAAGTTTGGATTGTTTTTTTTTTTTTTTTTGTTTTTTAAAGAATGTCGTCTTGTTCAGGGAAAGTAGTAATATTTAATTTATCCTCCAAACATAATCCACAATTTATGGAATCCGCTCCCTACATATTCGAATTTCCAATTTTAAGTGGGAACTTATTAAATTTATCCTTCTCCCCACCCATATTATTTAGTTTAGCGTTATACAATTGGAATAACATATCAATTCAAAACACACACACACACACACACACACACACACACACACACACACACGTTGAGTATTCGTAAGTAGCAAATATTCATTTTCTTTCAAACAATTTTCGGTAAATTATGTCTATTCAGATTCTAGTTTTAATAAGTCTCATTGACGTATTTCTTCTGCATGTTAGCGTTGAAGGTGTATACAACGATAAATATGTATGTGTGTTCATTGTAATCAAATTTTCCGTTAATTATTCTATTTCTATCAATGATTCTCTTGGTAAGTATAAATTAGATTGACTTCTATTCCAGTTGTAGCAATCACTGTATCCCACATTTGGTGTTCAAGAGTTCCTCTCAATTATCGCCTAATACTGGTAGATGAACGATTGCCCATTTAGTGTGTATTGAACATCTGCGGTTTAAAGTGGCTTGCTTTGTGCATCGATGCTCAACTTATTCGAACACGATAGCAACAGAAGATTGTTGATGCTGAAGCATTTAGTAAACTCGTAAAATTGTTGTCAATCATAGTTAATCGCTTGACTCTGATGAGAATTATATCACAAACTCACTTCAACGTCCAGACTGATCGATTGCAACACAATACTGTTCGGCGACGCATATAATGACCAAAACAGCACTAAATTATCACCGGATGTGACGTAAGCTAAAAAAAGACACCAAGTCAGTTTAAACCGGAATCAACTAATGATTCATCAACTAAATTTACATTTGCTGTAGACCAGTGCTTCTCAAACTATCTGATATGGTGGACAGACATTTTTTCCTCAATGTGTCACGTACCTGTAATATTTTGTGGTAATATTAATTTATACCGAAATGATATATATATATATATATATATATATATATATATATATATATATATATATATATATGAATATAATAAAAGTTGATTATTTTTTATCTTCCATTTATTTTGCAAAAAATAATTCAATATCAAAACATATAAAAAGTAATAAAAAAAAAAGCTTCAAATGGTTCCTTAGCATGGCCTGGACACTGCCCGCCTACCGGTAGCTGATGGTTTTACGTACCGGTCCGCGGACCATCACTCTGAGAAAAACGCTGTAGACAGTCAGATAGAATGATTTTTAATACAATATGCTAAATTTATTATGCAAGTTAATATTTTCACAATAAAAATTTCATTAACCCACAGATGTTGTTAACGCATACTATATTTATATGTTAAATATACCCCGTAAATTTCAACTCATTTGTTTTTATTAGAAATATTTACAGTAATATTTTATACCAACGTGTTTCGTTCCATGTAGAACTTTATTAAGGAAAACGTAGAACTTGTACTTAGGAACCTGTATTCATGCTTACAGTAAAGTTAACCTTATAAAAAATAGTTATGTGTTCAAATTTCAAATAGAGGGCGCTTTAAAATATTGGAAATAACTTGACATGAAAGAAAAGCAAAGGGAAACTATGGAAGATGCTAGGTGCCGTAAATATTCGACATGCTGTTTGCTACTGAGAAATCTAGGTAAATTATGGTGGATGCTAAGTAACCTTATTTCATGTCTAATAAACAAAAGTACATGATGTTGTTGATTTGTTTTCACATAATGCAATTAAGATTTATATTATTTTAGCTTCGGATTATGTTATATATTTTAAATAAAATGAAGTTATAAATTTAACTGATTGTTTTTTTTAATTTAAATTTTTTTTATGGCTATGTATGCTGGCTTGAGAAAGAAGCAATTCTTTCAGAACGAAGATATTTAGAAAAATCCGGGTCGCAGATTTGTATTTTGATAAAATTGGATAGTAGAACTCTTCAGAAATTTCCGGTTAATTAAGTTATTTTCTCTTTTTTAATAAGTGTGGTATTCTTTAGATCAAATATGTCGAATTCCTTTTATATGTATGACTAATGTATTTGATAAACTGTTGTGTATACAATCCTTTTTGTGTTCATAGGTACTTTTTTATTTTTCATTTCTGCGAGTCTTCCCATAAATTATGAAATATTGACATACACAATTATAAAATAATAATTTATTCAGCCAATCTGGATATGGCATTAAATAGATAAATGTTTTCGTGGCTTAGATCTTTTGGGTTAATTTATCAATAAAACTGGATGTTGCAATTATTTTATATAATAACACCTGACACCTTCCAAATAATTTATTATTAACATTGTTAATAAAAATAGACATTATAAGTTAAAATTCACATGACATATGGCTCATATAAATATAGGTACATTCTATAGATTTTATCAACGTTACCTGCTTAATACAACTGTTTGTATCACAAAATCTGACATACGAGTGTATCAGTCATTTAATGTGCCATGCGTGATACACGCTTAGGCGATCATATATCTTTCGATACATGAATGACGAGACAGATTTTTTCCCGCAGTAGGTTACCATTTCTTTCTGCGGTACACCAGTTGCTATCCAGGGCTATAGAACCCGGTCTGTCCATAGTTGGGGGGTGGGGTGGGGAGAAGAGGATTCATACCTTTCCCAAGGGTATTAGCACGTAAGTGAATGTAATGGATTCGACTGGAGTTTGAACTCGCCTCTCCGATTCCTCAATAAGTGGTAATGTTAAAATAACGAAAACTTCTCTATATTCCCGTTTATTGTGTTACAAATTAGATGAAACGGTTGGTTTTAAACCAGCAGAATTCATGCTGCCTCGCTTCTTTCTCTTACCATGACACTCTTTCCCTCTCTTTCTTCCGATTATCATTTTGTCTCTCTGTCATAATCCAAATGTCCATTTTTATTAAATATTCAAACGATACGCTTTGTTCTAGAATTCTCGCAATCTAAATTAAGGGCGGGAGGAGGACATTTCCTGAATTTTTAATGTGACGTGCGGTTGGATTAAGAATGTTCCCAGTAGGTTTTTCTCCATAAATAAACAATCATCTTAGCCTGGCTATTTGAAATACAAAGCGTTTTGCTGGCCAGGCATTTTAAATTTTTGTAGTTTTCAGTAATGAAACGCCTTGTGCTAGAATACTCGCAAACTAAATTAACGGCTGAGAAGAAATTTTCCTGAATATTTAATAAAAAGGGGGTGATTGAAATAAGGATGTCCCAGGTGGATACCTATCCCAAAAGGAAATGTCGTCCGAGCCCGTGTACTTGAAACTCAAAGGTACCCATATATATATATATATATATATATATATATATATATATATATATATTGATATATATTGATAATATTAGTGGTAAATATTTGAATTTGTAGGTCTGATGAATTGGATCGTATTTACAATTCCAATGGAATAAATTATGACCATGGAATATTAGTGTTTAAACCTTTTTTTTATATATATATATATATATATGTGTGTGTATTGTGAAAAATGTGTTATATTTAACGGGGAAAAGTGCCCCATATCAGAGATAGAGCGTTTATAGATATAGACAATGTGGACATAGGAATAAACAGGGCATGGTGACTGTCAGTTTCATGCTAAAATGCGATCTTCAGACCATGTTGGTCGGATTGGTTTGGTTTGGTTTGTTTTATGGCATATCAACCTCAATGGGTTATTTAATGCCGACAAAATTTTTATTGTTGGTAATATTTTTTGTTCAAAAATCTATTTCTGGTAATATTTTTTCTTCAAATATGTATCGCTGGTAATATTTTTTTTTCTCAAAAATGTATAGCTGGTATTAAAACCTATTTTTACACTTTCATAGTATTTTGACCCCAGTTTGGGATTAACTATTTTCCCATAGCTGGGATCCTAATAGGTGCTACCACCCCGGGTCAGGGTGGACCTGGGAACACCAGCAAATAAGAGGCGGTTCTACGCTCCTCAAAATCTCCTGATCAAAGGCCTTGCTGTTGGACGTAGTTTATCGCCTTACCCAGGACGATGTTGGTCTGAAGATTGTATTAAATCATATTTTAAACTATATATATATATATATATATATATATATATATATATATATGTGTGTGTGTGTGTGTGTGTGTACATTTGAATTTCAAATAGGCAGGCCGCTACGATTATACTTCTGAAGATAAATTCCTATGTGCAATCTTTATTTCAACGACTCTCTTTTATTTTTGAATATTCGGGTTACATTGAAGCGCGAAACTGACAGTCACTATGTAGTGTTGATACCTATATCCACGTGTTCACATTATCTATATCTATTTTTATTCGGTATATTTGAGCAGAAATTCTTCTTCTAAATATGGTTTGTTGAAAGTAATAAACATCTTATGTCTATCGTATTTAATGGTCTTTTTTTCTAATGTACGAAAATCCTTTCGTAAGTGCATTTGTTTTGTGTGGATAAATCGGTAAACCTATCCTTAAATAACAGCTTCATTAGCGTAAACATATTCGTATATTGGAAAAAGAAGATCGTTAAATATAACAGACAGATATGACTTGAACTACATAGCATGAATTTCGCCTAATGTATCCACAAACAACAATTACATATGCAAAAAGATATTTGTATACCGGAAAAAGAAGATTATTATATATATTTGATAAGTCCCGGAAAGGGATATATTTGTTCGAAGTAGCAAAGTGGTTTTGGACTGCTGTAATCGAGTAGGACAATCTAGCAGGTAACCGTAATGGACTGGTCCTCGTCGTAGTGGTAGGCAATAGGCGTAGACAATAGGCGTCGTCCTGTACCTCCACATCAGTCTGTATTTATGTCTGACACCAGCCAATCATATTACTGTGAGGGGAAACCAGGTGTATGCATATTCATTACATCAATAATAAACACAAAATGTCTCTTGTTTGAAGCAATACATCTCTCTTTATGCAAATGCAGCCAGACAAATGTTTCCACCTTATAGACATTTAAAGAACAAAACTATATGTAAACAGGGACATGCAAATACTTACAAGGTGTCTTCGAGTAACAGTCTCACAATGACCCAAGGAAGCACAAAAGTGAAAGGGAATCCTAAGAAAAGATTAAAATATATATTAAAATCAGAAAGTGTATCTCAAATAAATATACTTAGCCATTAAGAAATTAGCGTATTTAGCAAATATTTGTTTGATCATATGACCAAGTGTGGCGATTAATACGAAGGTATTCTTTGCGTTGCATCATTTTAGATTTGGATACAAATCAAGTTTAATCCGACGATCAAATAAAAAAGAAAATATGCCTTCGTTCAGCAAACATTTGCTACGGGAGAAAATTTAATATAGAATACCTTGGAATCTCCTGTAACAGTTTGAAGTTAAAAAATTGCCACGGTTTATTCTTGCTTTTTTTTAGTCATTAAATATTATTCAGGTTTGGTTTTGGTTTGTTTTATGGCATAACAACCTCAATGTATGTTTTTTTTTTTTTTTCCAGAAATGTATTGCTGGTAATGTTTTTCCTTCACAAATATATTTCTGGTAACATTTTTTCCAAAAATCCATTGGAGGTAATATTTTTCCAAAAATGTATAGCTGATAATATTTTTTCCAAAGAAATGTATTGCTGGTAATATTTTGTATGTAATAAATTTTCTTTCAAAAACGCATTGCTTGTAATAATTTTTCCTTCAATTTTGTAGCTTTTATAATAATGTTTCCTTCAAAACTATATTGATGGTAATAACTCTTTCTTAAATGTGTTGCTGGTAAAAACTTTTTCTTAAAAAAAAACATTATTAAGGAGCGAAAAAAGATAAAAGAACAGGAATTAAAAAGACAGAAAATTGCAACTGACATTGGATTTACATTTCTAGAAGCAAGAAACTGGAAGAATGTTCCACAAGTAAGAAGTGCGAAAGAAGAAACTGTTAGTATAGAAATTACGGTTACATCTAGCTATTTCAGTTGTTAAATGACGAGACCTTGCCGCCAATCAAGTACTGCGTTTAAATTCATAAAGTCTAGGTACCATAGAGGAAAGTTCAACAGAAGGATTATCATGAAAATATTTATAGAAAAGGCACAGATAAGCTATGTTACGGCGATGGGAAAGTGACTGAAGCCGAGATGCCAGGTCAGGACCCAAAACATTGTAGCTTCTTTGAATTTTATCAACAATTTCTAAATACATAGCAGAAGCACTAAACCAGATGTGGCAGCAATATTCAAGGCATGGATGAATGGTAGACTTATAAATATGTAAGATAGATTCTGGCCAGAAAAAATGTCTAGCACGACACAGTGAACCAATATTCCTAGCAGTATGCCTAGCGATGGATTCAATATAATCGTCCCACTGTTTTTTTTTTTTTGCCGTAAACATCTTTGCACACCTAAAATTGAATAAAGATTTTTTTTATTGTAAATTTGACGTTCATCTAATATATATTTTTTGTAGAAAAATTAATTTTATTGTGTAGAGTACATTTATTTATGGAGTATTGTTAAAAAAAAAGTTTTATAGAAAGCATAAAATAGACTAAAGAATCATGTCTTCGAGCGAATAAATCCTGTAGGTCTTAGTGAGAACCATCCTTGTTCGAACTTCGGGGATTGGCGCTACAGAATCACAAAGAAATGTTTCAGATAACAAAAAGAGTATCACTTGATGATTTTCAACAAAAAAAAAAGAATTAGTTAAAATGGTTATCACGTGTAACTCAAAGATAAAATAACAGCATAATCAAGATGATGACATTCCACATTACTTCTTGCAAAAGGTTAGCAAAAAGTCACTGTCAATATTGCAAAGAACGATAAGAGTTACCGGACTTGAGAAACCTATATTTCTGAAAGTTTTTAAGAGAACGATTTTATAAATTTCAGCTGGCAGTAGTTTGGCTGCTCAGTCAATATTTACCAAATGTTTCCTTATAAGGAAACGGTTTATATTATCATTACTATTACTATAGTACCAGCTACACTGAATGAAATAATGCCGTTGTACATACGAACATAATTATAAGTATTTCGTCTAAAACGAGGGACGAAAACAAGCACAGCGTGTCAAATCGCTTAAGTGAACATGTACAAGGGTTTGTTTTTCGTTCAATTGTTGATAAATATTTTGATTTTGAATTTCAATTTTTTCGAATCAGTCACTAATTCATGATTTAGCAATGAGGTTTTGGAAACTTTCGCACATATGTAAATAAATGTTTTGTAAATTTTATCAAGTAGATACCCTTTTTTTGTCAAGGCCCTAAAACAAAAGAATCGCCAAATTGCAACTGTTGTACTCACCCCATCCTCCGATTATATAAGGTCGTACTCCGCTTTTCTTTGAAAACAATGCAACTGTGATGAGGTTGTGGAGGTAGAGGCCCTCAATAAAGATCCAGATGTAATTGGCGGCCAGTATATAGTGAAACAGGGAGAAAAGAAGTTTACATTGCCAGTGCTAGAGAAAGAGAAAAAGAAAGAAAACAGTAAAAGAAAAATGCAGATGGCATCATTGTTAGGAAATTCTTTAATTATACTCCAATAATAAAAATATCAAATGATGGATGTCATAAATTTTAAATTAAAATCCATCACTTATTTTGAAATTTAAAACATGCTTAAAAAGCACGATTTACATTATTCGAACTATTTGTCCTCATTTTTGTCGCCATATTTATAACAACGTTTCGGCCGTTGTACGCTCCGGCCTTCTTCAGGTGGTTGAAACGTCGAACTTAACCCTTTATTTTGCTCACTGTGGTAGACTGTTCTATTTCCTCGAGGCCACATGGCACAGTGGATAAAGGCGTTGGTTAGATCCAGTGACAGAACCCAAAGAGTGTGAGTTCAATACCCGGTTAAGCCAGTGGAGAACTTGGAGAGGTGAGTTAACAGGAGATAAATGATAACTGACATCCATTAAGAAAACATGGCACGTGGAACTAGAACAGTCTACCCCAGTGAGCGAATTAAAGGGTTCAGTTCGACACTCTAACCACCTGAAGAAGGCCGGAGCGTACAACGGCCGAAACGTTGTAATAAATATGGCGACCAAGATGAGGACAATAGTCTGAATAATGTAAATAATGTACATAATACCTCATCTCAGAAATATAGACAGATAATGCATAAGAAGAATTTATGTTGCCCGTATGAGTTTGTAATAATCAAATACAATACCGATATCAACATACTAGGGTGATGCAATGTTAAAGAAATCTTAAAAGTGTCTTTTTAAAATTTCTTATTATTATTATTAGTATGTGAATTTCCTTTGTTGGACGTCGGCCTTCCCCAGATTCATGGAGAGGAATGGGCCATTACCCTACCGCGTTGACCCAACGCGTGTCAGTAGGCTAGAGAGTTGTTTGTTCTGCTATTTAACCCATAGCTGTGAAGTGGAGAGAAAATTCATGCATTATCCAAGGGTATTAATTCGGAAGTGAATGCAACAGATTTGATGGGAATTTGAATACGGCTCGCTGATAATTATACCACCTACACATCCATATTAGCAGTTATAACATTTAAACACCGTTTTAAGAGAGAGAAAAAAATCCTACTTTGAGAGGAGATTATAGAGGCTTTATGTTCCATCAATATAATGCACAAGAAAGATCACATGTGAAAATACTGAAGACCTCAACCGGAGGCGACATATTTAGACAGTAACCTTATTTTACTGATCTTACTTGATTTGATTGCTACCGATTCCGGAGTTTAAAGAATCATCTTAATAGACTGATTCTTAAAACACTTGAAGAGGTAGAAACTATTCTATCTCTATATTTTCTATCCAATCTAAACAGTTTTACAAAAACAAAAACATTCCTGTAATATGCAGTTTTTAAAACGTTGAATGTAGTTGACTGTTAATAATAACGACACTTAGATTAATGAATGTTTAAAAAAAAATCAATTAAAAAAAATAATGTTCAAAACGACACCGACGTTAACTGTGGCAAAAGATGGCTTGTTAATTTTAACGCTTCCAAACTTAAACGTCTCTCCATTAATCATCTGAGAGACCTCTGATGCTAACCTCCAAGAAAATGCTTCGTTAAGCCTTCTCTGTCTGACGTTCTTAGCTGACATGAAGTGGAAAAACTATAATGAATCCATCGTTAGGTCAGCTGCTAAGAAAGTTGGTTCACTGTGTCGTACGAGATAATTTCTCTCTCCAGAATCTATCTAACATATCTATAAATCTACCATTCGTCCATGCTTAGAATATTGCTGCCACATATGGTCAGATGGTCCTGTTATTTATCTTGAGTTCCTTCATAAAATCCAAAGAATAAACAGCAATATTATTGGTCCTGATATGGTGGCTCAGCTTCAGTCACTTTCTCACCGCTCTAAGGTTGAAATAAATGTGGCTGTGTGTTTAATTATTGTAAAAATATTAATATTAACATGTCTCGTGAGGACGTGAATGATCCTGACTTTCCTTAGATGCCTCTTCTTTATTATCTGTGAATTGCCATGTGTAACTAGGAAAGATAAGGGAGTAGTTTGAAATTCAAGGTTTTCCTTTTAACCTGGCTGCCACCTAAGGCTGGTGAATCCAGTTTACTCTGCTGGTTTGCGTGGGGGTGGGAGTGAAGAGAAGTGACGGATTCATGCTTTTTTTCCACAAAAGAAATTTGTGCGAAAGTGAATGCAATAAATCAGCGCCGAATTTGAACTCGTTCTAACCGATTCCATTCTCCACGTTGATATCTTTAACACCACCCGCACATGCGGGTGCTTGTCACTGACACATATCTGTTGTCCCCAGGAATATGTCCGGTTGAACGCTGGGTGTTCTTGTGGAAACTGTAATGAGGTGGTCGGTCAACTTGACACCCCCAAAGCGAGTGGAGGTGAGCAGGCGCGGGAACTGTGATTGGTAGCTGGCTTGTTGGTGTTTTGCATGGATGAGTTACCAAACTCTATGTAAAGTGCTGGAATGAGAAGGTGGGCAGTTTCAGTCTCAGAAGTGGAGACTGTACCCGTCGCTACGACAGCAGGAGAGAAAGAGACGAAATCATTTATTTTTTCGTGACACATTCCAACACATTATACCAATAGACTGCCTCGGGGATCGAACATCAATAGCGACTGATTAAGTGTTGTACTCATCAGGTGGCAGGTGTTCATAAAACTTGAAGATAATTTTAACTGGCTGCAAAATTTTCCCACCATTTAAAAAAAAATGAAGTAAAATTCATGAATTAATAATAAGACGTCGTTATATTTATCAATAATCTAAATATTTTTAGTTGACCTTATATGACCTGACACCCACATTTCGGATGTTTTCGATTTATATCTTGATAAAAGAATATTAGTTTCGATACGGAGATGACATTGTGTTGATGGCTGACACAGAAAGAAAAATATAGGACCTCCTATTCAGGGCAGTAAAAGAAAACGAGAAAAAAAAAAAAAAAAACTAACCGCAAGAAGAGTCATAGTAAGAGGAACAGTCCAAGATTCGAAGTACGAATTGTAGATATTAAGCAGACGAGATTAAATATCTGGGAAGGGTTTTAACAGAAGATGGAAAATGCCACGCAGAAATCCGAACAAAAATTAAGCGATTAAAGGCGGAATTACAAAATCTAAAGAAAGTGCTGAGCAATAGAAAGAGTGCGAGATTTCTATGTGATATCCATCCTCTTATATAACAGTGAACGCTGGACAATCACCCCATAGATAAGGAGGAAACAGTGGGTAATAGAAATGTGGTTCTACAGAAGGATACTGTGAATTACACGGGTGGAGCGAGTAAGCAACAAGGAAGTCTTAAAGAAAATGTCAACAAAAAGAAAACATGCTCAGAATCAAGAAGAGAAGGCTGAAATTCTTTAAACACATAACGAGGAAGGAAGGATTGGAAAACTTAATCCCCACAAGGCATATTGAGAGTATGGGAAATAGGAGGAGGCAGCATGCCACCTATTTGACAATCTTGTGTGAATGGAATGCGGAAAAGGGTGTGGGAGCCTTAACAAAGGGAGCAAAACTGCTAGGAGCCACTATGGATAGGAAGTTGCGGAGAACCATGATAGCACATATCCTAAAGGGATGCCGTACATAGAAGAAGTTTCGATGGAGGAATTCTTAAAGAAAATGGCAACAAAAAGAGAATTAGAATCAGAAAGAGACACAATGAGGAAGGAAGGGCATATTGAGGGCAAGAGAGATCGGGCAGAGCAACCTTGTATGAATGGATGGCGGAAAAGATGTGATGGGAGGCTTGGCAAAATTAGAAAACATTGCTAATGGCCATAAGGGATAGGAGGTTTTGGAGAGCCATGATCACCCATGTTCTGTAGGAAAACTGTATATAGAAAAAGTTAATTGAGAAACATTTCAGGAACACACCCACACATCTATAGACAGTAAATACTAGATATAACGGATGCCAATAACTGTTTTAAATATCAAAGATATATTTAAATTTTTTCATCAGGTAAGAAATTCAGTGTTTATAATACCCAGAAATTCGTACACAGATGTCCTCAAGGACACATGGCACAGTGGATAAAGTCGTTAGTTAGATCCAGTAACACGACCCAAAGAGTGTGAGTTCAATACCTGGTTAAGCCAGTGGAGAACTTTCAGAAGGAAATTAACGGGAGATAACTGATAACTGACATCCATTAAACATGGCAAGTGGAACTAGAACAGTCTACCCCAGTGAGCGAAATAAAGGGTTCAGTTCGACAATCCAACAACCAGGAGAAGGCCGGAGTGTGATAAATATGGCGACAAAGATGAGGACAATAGTCCGAATAATGTAAATTCAGCATTGTTCGAAAGAAATGGCGGTCAATATACTGTATTGGAAAGAATAACTACATTCCAACAACAACTTTAAAAAAGACGATATTTCATCAGACCCGGTACGTTGGATAGCGGCCTCTTTAATCTGGCCCGTCCCCACGCCAAGACAAAATGTTTTGAAACAGTTATCCGAGATCCGCTCTACGCTGACGACTTCGTCTGTGATTCTTGCTAATCTTGCAAGAAATCATTAACAGTTTCCAAAGAGCATCAAACAATTTTGGCCTGAAGATTAAAATAAAAGATCGAAACCCTTTACCACACATCTCTAAATTTGGAGCCGACGATCACGACTGACGGCGAATGACTGGATTCTGTTTGCAGTTTTGTTTACTTCGGAAGCACTATCAATACAGAGCCCCCCACTCTCTCAGCAATGAAATCGACAAATGAATCTAGACAGCTTTCGGTGCCCTGAGAAGCCGAGTGCGGGACCAGAGAGATATCAAGTTCCTCACCAAGAGCTATAAATTAAAAAAAAACATATCACTTGAAGACTTCTAACAGTGGTAACAGCAAAAATGAATAGCACGTGTAACTAGGATAGAAAAAAATGATATAATCAAAATGTTGAGGTTCCACATTACCACCATCAAAAGGATTGAAAGAGCTATAATATTTAGT